CCTTATGTGCTCTATATTGTTGCCACATAGTTCCAAAGTTAAACTGTTCTTCCATGTTTTATGCCCTGGAGCATGCAGTACACTCATGCTTTGGGGCAATAATTAAGTAACAGAAGGATTACTGGAACAGAATCACACTAACATCATAACAGTTGATCTAGTAATTGAGAAAGCTACCAAGTGACTAACATTCAGGTAATGTATAAGGCATGGATACACTGGATAAATTAATGGTTTAAATTCTGGGCAAAATAGAGTTAGACAGTATGAGATTTCATCAAACAACTCAGAATAGTGTGCAACTTTAAAATTATGAATTATTTATATCTGAAATTTTCCATTTAATATTACAGTTGACAATACTTTCTGAAATTACAGTAAGTGAAACTATAGAGAAGGAGGGACTACGGTAGTGGTTTGCTTCTCAGTGTTCCTTTGTATTTTTAAAAGTGATTCTTCAGGGGCTGGCTTGTGTTTCAACAAGGTTGAGGCTCAACAAGTGGAGCACTTGCCTAGCACATGTGAGGTGCTGAGTTCGATCTTCAGCACCTCATAAAAATAAATAAAATAAAGGTATTGTGTCCAACTACAACTAAAAAAATTAAAAATAAAAAAGTGATTCTTCATTTATTCTTTCATTAAATTCTGACTATTGCTAAAATAAAGCCAGTGTCATTGGTCCATTCAGACTGCTAAAACGAACTACATTAAACTAGGTATTTTAAACAACAAAAATTTGTTGAAGCTGGGAAGTCCAAGCTCAAGGTCCCAGTAGATTTGGTGTGCGGTAAGAATTCACTTTCTGCTTCAAAGGCATTGCCTTATTGCTGCATCATCTTGTGGTGAATGGTGCAAGGAGCACCCACAACCCTCTTTTATAAGAGTGGAGCCAAGGTTAGGTTCACATTGGGTTACAACATGTGAATTGGTAGTGGGGGATACTAACCAATATTCAGACCATACCAGTCAGTGGGGCTTATTTACATGAACAAATTTCAAAAGAGATAAAGGCAGAGGAATATCTCTTCGTCTTTCAAAAGTAATCTTGAGTATCAGGCCTTGGTAAAAGACTTTTCAGTTCCCTAGGAAAAAGTGTTTATTTACTCCACTTATTCTGATGCTCAACCATGCCCTGGAGAGATATCTCTCATGCACCTATGATATTTCCTTGCTCTGTTTATTAACTTGCTTTTCCTGTCTAATAACATATGTCTTAAGTTGTGAAGTGTATTAATTAAGCATCTATTTAATGACAGCATGTGCCAGACATGTGCTATGTCCATAAATACAATAATCAAGAAAACATACATTCTTCCTTCAGACTAATGTAGTCCAATGAAGGAATGGTTAAATTAGTAAATCATCACCATATAGATTAAAATGTGTTATGACCAAGGGAATACTATCCAGACAAATGTAGAGTCTCAAAGAAGCTGAGTCTTGGAAGAACTGACATCTGATTTCATCCATAAAGGAAGATTAGGAGTAGCCAAGACAGGGGGAAGGCTCATTCAGGTTAAATTACAAGCTAATATTAAGCCATTGCTGTTTGGGGAACTATATAAACTAAATCAGGTGAAATAGAGAACACGCTGGAAGGAGCAAGTGGGACCACATTTGGGTGGTTTTTGTAGGACATGTTAAAAATACTGGATTTGGTTTTAGAAGCCAAGGAATTTACTAAAAAGTATAGGAAGGTCAATCATGTGTTTAGATTTTTCCTTTAGAAAAGTGATGGTGACAGTGGTCTGGGGTGGATTAGAAAAGGACAGATCATGTAACAGCAAGGTGAGAAATGATGAGGATATTAATAATGAAGTAATATGTTTTTAGAGAAAGTTGAACAAATTTTTAAAGATATGAAGGACCTAGAAATAATTGAACCTGGTGATGAATACATACATATTTCACGTAAAAAGGGAATCACGAGTGACCCTGAAGTTTCTGATTTAGGCAACTGAGCAAATGGAAGTGTTATCACTACAAAAGGGGCAGGAGAGAAAGAACATGTTTGAACGATGGGGGGGGGGGGAATAAAAAGTATCACTTTGAATATGTTCAGTATTTAGATATTTTGGGGAAATTCAACTGGAAGTATCTAGATGGACTTATCATTTTGGAACTCAGAAGACTTACCTGCCAGGATATAAAGATTGTGGTATCCTCAAATCCATTTAACAGATATTAATTGAATGCCTACTGTACATGTGCAAGACATTATTTTAGTCAGAGACAGAATTGAATCTAAGGCTTGGTAATAAAATGCATAAAACTAGAAGACTATAAAGAATCTTGTAGAATAGCAGCATTTATGAGAAGGGCAGATGAAAGCTAATTCAAAGTAGACCAAGAAGAAAAGCTCAAAGGGACAGAATGAACCAGGTTAGCAAGGAATAGAATAGGTCAGCAAGTCTAGAAACCAGAGTAAATTAATAAATGGAAATACTTATGGAAAGAAAAGGGTAGAGAGGGCTGGGAGGATAGAAGCCTGGGACAGACATGGACAATCAAGATCTAGGCTCTCTGAGACCATAGATTAGTCCTCGTCTCTCTCCTGCCCTCTCTCCCTAATTTGTTAGCATTATTTACTGAATTCCTATTCTGTGCTAGAACTGTGCTAGGTGACCAGTATGTGATGGTTAGCAAAACAGAGTTTTGTTTCCCAAGGAACATATAGTAAAATAGGGAAGACAGGTAGTGGGCAAGTCAGCAAATAAGATTTCCATAATGCAATATGTTAAGGAGAAAAGAAACAGGGCTTGGAAAGAAAATGGATTATATTTAAAAAGGCATAGTTGAGCTTGAAGAAGTGCAAGTTGAGAAAAGCCCTTTAGGAAAATTTCCTTGTTTTTAATAGACATAATATTGTATGTATTTATAGAATTGCCTGATATTTCAACACATGTATGTGTAATGACCAAATCAGGATAATGCACATTTTTATCTGCTTAAATAGTTATCATTTCTTTGTGTTTGGAAACTTCTAATTCCTTTCTTCTAGTTATTCATAAAATATGGAATAAATCCTTGTGAACTATAGGTAGCCTGTGGTGCTATAGAGCATTAAAACTTATAGAACATATTTCTCCATCTCTAATTGTACTTAGTACCTGTTAATTAACTTGCCTCTCCACTGCCTTCCTAACTCTAGTGACCACTGTTCTTCTCTACATCTATGAAATCAATATTCTTAATTTCCACTTGAGTGAGCACTTGTGAATTTTGTCTTTCTGTGCCTGACAATTTTTATTTTATTTTATTTTTTTGTACCAGGGATTGAGCCCAGAAGTGCTTAAACACTGAGCTTCATCTCCAACCTTTTTTAATCTTTATTCTGAGACAGGGCCTCACCAAGTTGCTGAGCCTGGCTTTGAATTCAAGATCCACCTGCCTCAGCCTCCCTACTCACTGGGATTACAGGCACTGAGCTGTGCCTGACTTATTTCACTTAATTTCCTCCAGTTCCATCCCTGTTTTCTAGCATTTATTTCTGTATCCTATGCTTTTACATTTTTTGTTGCCTGGCAAATACATTTTTAATGTTAAAGTAATAAATAAATAATATGAAAGTTAAATATAATTATGTGTTTTCTATTACCCAGTTACTATAAAATGTAAATGTATATGTATGTATATGTGTGTATATATATACATATATTTTCAAAGTATATATATAGTTTGAAAAACATCAAAATTGACATTCCATAAAATGTAAAGAATATGTCCACTTGTCTATTTTAAATTCTAAAGAGTAATCAGCAATTTTTGCTCTTGGTTGAAACCAAGTCAGCTATACAGATACAATTAAAAATAGCAAAATTAACATCAGAATTGATTTTCCTTTGTGGTTTCTATCATTAGAACTCTCTCATTTCCTCTACTAGACATCATTAAATTTTTTAAGGGTTCTTTTCTCTAGCAATCCTCTTCTTTCAGCATAGCTTTGTGCTTCAGTGCTGCCAAGCATCTCTTGAAATCAGTTCTTTTGAACACCAGCCCCTTGAGTTTCTTCAACTAAAAGTTTTAAAATAAATTTATTATAATTAAATAAGTTCAAAAAACTATGTGTCATACAATAGCCCATTCATTGAAAGGTCTACAGAAAAGAAAACTGTGGTTTGTTAAAATTCTGTATTTTTTTAAAACACAATTCTTGAAAAAAAAATCATATACCTAATGTGTTTGGGGGCATTGCCACAAATGGTTTCTCAAAGAGTCTGCAGATATTGCTAAACTCTGAATGATGTTACCTGAGAGTATCTTAAAATATTGGCCTTCATTTCAGGGTGTTTGTTTTGTAATGAATAATTTTGAAGTTCAAATCGTTCATAATATGAAGGAAGGACTCTGTAGTTATGACATAGTGGGTGATGGTGAGGACATTTGGAACTGGGCATGGGGATACATGACTGTAATCCCAGCACCTAGGGAGGCTGAGGCAAGAGGATCCCAAATTAGAGGCCAGTCTCAGCAACTTAGTGAGGAACTATCTCCCAAAAATAAATAAATAAATAAAACCTGACTAGGGATGTGGTAAAGCATCCCCAGTACCAAGCAAACATAAGAAGATATTTGCAGTTTGGTGGTGATTCAGGGATATGTAGGTGGGAGCTTGATTCAGGACTTTCCCAAGTCTTAGTCATTGTCACTATACTATAAACATAAAAAAGTAACTCCAGATTGTAGATGGAGAAATAAACAGAAGCACTTGCATATGCTTTTTTTTCTGTATATTTTTCTTGACAGAATTATTAATGGGTAAGAATGTAGAAGATATTTACATTTGTATTCAAACACATGGACATGTCTCAACAAAATAGAAAACTATTATTTGAAGGTCAAAGGAGCAGCCCAACAATGGCTTTCTTGTGGAATGTTATTTTTCCCCCCACCAATATTAATAATCATGAATTTAATTGTAATTTCAGGTGGCATCTGCTTATTTCAAAGACTTTCACCTGCTGCTAATTGGAGTCATCTGTTTAGCAACGTCAATAGAAAAATGGAATTTGCACAAGAGGATTGCTCTGAGGATGGTGATGATGGTGGGTGTGAACCCAGCACGGTAAGTACCGTGTTTACTCCTTCCAGTTCAACATTCTGAACAGACCATTTCATGCAGATGACCAAATAAGTAATGCACATCCAGTCTCGCTTATGGGTTTTTTTCCTCTGCAAATATAAAAGTGATATAAAGTGTGCTTGAGTTGTAGGAGGGGAAGAAAACAACAACTCTCCTGTCACTGCAGGTCTAATTACAGTGAGCTTGGGATAAATGCACACGACTCTCTCACCTTAATGCACCATTGGAGTCAAAGATGAGAGAAGCCTTGAACTTCAACAGGCAAGATTGATAGACTTCAGAGGAGATTTTATTCCTATCTTGTTTATTTGTGATTACACATTCAGAACTTGTTCAAGAGCATCTTTTATCAACAGGGAGGATGTTATAAACCAAAGACAAAGACATTACTGACAAAATACAAATGTGTGCTGAAAAATTCCAAGGTGAACATTTTTTCTTTTAAAATCAACTATTGTAAAGTGAAACAATCAATTAAGAACATCCATCTATAGAATGCAAAATCACTCCTTTGACTGATTTTAGTCTCACTGAAATGACTGTTTTTTTTTATTAAATGAATTAGCTATTTTGATTTTATTCCATCTCCTGTTAAGCACATGAACATAAATGAAAGAAAATTTCCAGTGTCAGAATCATTTGCATAGTGATATTTTGCTTGAAAGCCTTAGGTGATATTTTTCCTTTTCATCTTTCTTTGGAAAATAAGAAAGTTTTATTGACTTCAGTTGTATAATTCCTTCAAGGGCATAGCTGCATGTGTGTTTATTATTTATGAAACAAATTGTTTTGCTAAATACAATGGATATACATATGTATATGTATATGTAATGTATATGTGTGTGTGTGTATATATATATATATATATATATATATATATATATGACTCATATCAAACAATTTGGAAAAAGTTACTTAAAATTGTATAACATATACATATATATGAAATGGTGGTCCATACCTCTTAGGTACTATAGAAGTGCATCTTTTCTGGTCATTGCCCTAGAGCTGGGTAAAATGTACTGCACAATAGGACAAAAGTCCTGTCCATTATGTCACTAAGTGGCTTTTCAATTTAAGGTGTTTTCACCAGAAGCTATTCCTCACATCAACCTTTTTTTTTTTTTTTAAATAGGAAGATTGCACATCTAATAGATACATGAATTAAAAGTACTTCTATTGTTTTTTTAATCATTTCTTATTTAAGTATATTTCTAAAAGTTTTTTTCACTTTTTCTTTGATAAAGTAAAATAAATAGAAACACAGAAAACATTCATTATACCTGAGTCGGAGGTATAGCACCTAATTGTTCTTGTAAATCTATTTTAAAAGAAAGTCAGAGAACATTATAAACGGGTTCTGAATGAATTTTTAAGGCTTCCTACTCAAAGGAGATCATGTTTTTCCCCAAGTGTGATGGTTTAAAATCCTAAAGTCTTAGGTATGTTATATTTAAAAATCAACTACTCTAAAAGAGAATATAATAAAGTCTGTTCCTGACAACAGGAAGGAATGCCAATTCAGGAAAGCTAAGTAACAGAATCTACAGAAAATTCTGCAACCTCATTTTAGCAAGTGACTTAACTATTTTCTCTATCATATATTATTGAACCAGAAGAGTAACAAGGAAAGAGACGTTGTATAAATATCTCTCTCCTTGTTCTTGTATCCCCTTGGCACACATACTAATAAAAAGATATATGCCCAAAAGATAAAAATTAAGGGGCCCTAAATTCAAAAGTTGATTGCAATTCCATCTTACTTGTATCTGAAGATGTCATCTGAAAAGAGTATTCATGTATTAGTGTAAAATTACAAGCTGTTAGGCACATACCAACTTGCAGTTTGGTGTAAGTTTAGTGATTTTTTTTTCTGTTTTTCAGAGAAAGAATTTTTATAGTTCCCTAGGAGATAGATCCCTTGAAAACTCCATTCTTACATATGTTACTTTGATTTCTACCTATGTATGACTGTACTCAGCATTCACCCTCTGGGAGGAACCTTAACTTTCCATGTTTTGAAAAATTTAACTCCTAACTCACAAGCAACTACTCTCTTTTACAATTAACTAAGAGCCTCTGGAGACCGAGCTGAGATCCATGTGACACTCTCTCCTTGCAGGCTGACCCTGGGATTCATGAGCAGCACTGCCCTCCTATCCATGTGGCTTAGCAACACCTCTACTACTGCCATGGTGATGCCCATCGTGGAAGCTGTGGCACAGCAGATCATCAGGGCTGAAGCAGAGGCCGAGGCCACTCAGATGACTTATTACAATGAATCTGCCAACCGTGTCCTGGAAGTTGATGGTATCATGTTGATATGGCTTCAGTGGGGTCTAGTCATTTGGGCAACAGGCATACATTCAAGAATCATGGGTTATATTTTGAATTAACTATCCATATATGCACAGTGTGAATTTAATCTTCCTCCTTCTATAGTCCCTAATATCTCTACAAAGAAATTACATTATGCAAATATTTTACCTTAAACTATTTGTTGAATTACTACTTTCTGGCAAAAAGAGGAAGAATGCCTTTTCTACTCTCCAGTCAATCCAATGAAACATTGTTATGTCTCTCTCAGGAGACTTCCAGGTTAATTTTTTTCCTTTCCTAAAATTACTTTACTGCTCAATATTGGCAGTCTTTAATTCCTACATTCTATTTGTATACAACAGCAAATATGACTGTGGCTATTTCTGGCTCTGATGAACTGCTTTTATGCAATGAAAAATGTAGGGAATGTTTGTGTTTCTAAAATACTTTTTTAAGATGAATGCTATATCAATATAAAGTGAATTTTTTCATTTGTAATTTCTAGTAATAATTCCATTTTCTCATACACACACGCGCGCACACACGCACTTGAAAACCCAATGATAAACCCTCATTTAAATTGTTTTCCTTTTACTTAATGTTTTGCAGAAACTGTTATTGGACAAGAAACAAATAAGAAGAAAGAGAAAACAAAACCAAAGTAAAGAACATTGACATTTTGATTAGGATTTTCCAAATTATATTTTAATAAGATTATAAACAGGGCCAATTTATTTTTCAGATACAGTAATGATGCAGAGAAAGTTTCAAGCAAGATGGATATGGAAAAGGTATATGAATTTTGGTTCTTTCTAAATAATTATATATGAAATTACATTAGAGCTGTAGTTGTATAAAATATGTATTTTAAAACATGGCACTTGCTTCTTTGCCCAAAAAATACTTTGCCTGACTAAATCAAAGTGTGATCTGATGGTTTGGTAAGGCTTCAAGGATAGACTGAAATCATCATACACTTTAGGCTCTGAAAATTAGCATCATTATTTTCCCTTTCTACTAGAATCAAAATGATGGCAGTTAGCAATGTAGTTAAGAAATAAAATTCTAGTCTCAGAATTTGTTTCATTTTCTTATGAAAATATTGTTGACCCAATAACCTGATTTTCATAAGGAGCATTCTCATTGTTCCAGGTTATGAACTTTGAGCACTTCTGTTCATATAATTATAAATGATCACATAGTTTTAGTGTCTCCATTGCCACTAAAAAATTCAACACAGAACTCATGAGTTTTTTCTGTCAAATAAAGGTGAAAGAGTCATACCCATTCTAGATATTAAAGGAAGGAAGGCAATCTTTGTAAACTATCCCATAGAATTTCTTTCCCAGAATAAATCAATATGAAAGTAGGATACTAGGTTGCACTGGGAGCAGTATATCTTGAGACCACTGTAAAATAATCCTGCATAGAAATAGTCCTACGGTAACCATGGCATTAGCAATAGAAGAGTGGGGTATATGTTTCATCCTCAGGTTATCATGCATTATCATGCAGCTCAATAGGGAAAAAACAAAAACAAAAACAAACAAACACTCTCCTAGTTTACAGGAATCTTCAAGGAAAGAGCAATTTCTATATAAAGAGAAAATACACACACAGATTAGTTTTAAGCCATTAGTTACATGTAGATTAAGGATTTTTAAAGAGGCAAATTGCAAATATACTTATTAAAACATTGTTATAATTAGGGATAGAAGTAATTCTTTTAAATAATTAAAAAATCAATAGTCATCCAGGTATGTCTCAAAAGAACGCATTGGAAGTGCACTTCAAAAACTATCCTGAAAATTGGCAAGCCTGACCAGAAAGAATATTTATGCACTCTGTAACTTTCTTGTGGTCACCTTTAGAAAGCTAGTTTTCTGGCAGGACACTTAAACTTTGAGTCAAAGTCCTTTAAATGTGATTTCATACTCAATTCTGTCCAGAGAATTGTAGGATGGTTTGCTGATGAAAAGGCCCACTCTATTGTAAGCAGCTAAGGATCTAGTGGCAAATATGGGCTTCCAAAACAAGTCTGACATAAATACCAAAATAGAGGCTTGCACAGAGGCCAAGCTTGTCAGAAGCAGGAGAATCAGTTCAATCTGAGCACACTGTGAAGACCCGGGGTCTGAGAAGATGATAGTGTGTGCAAGCGGAGGAATGAAAACCTCATGAGAACAGGCACATGGCTACTTTGCACTGTGGTAGACCCTAGCATATTCTATTGCCTGACACAGAGAAGGTACTCAATAGATATTTACCAATGAATGATTAAGTGAATGCAAAACATGAGGAAAGGAATTGACATTCTAATCAGAGGGTACACCTCATTCAAAGACCCAACTCTGTAGACAGTTGGCTTTCCAGACACCTCTTCTACAGGGGTACTAGAGGTGATTAGCTGCTGTGTTGAGTCCAGTGGTTAATTAGATTGGCTAGATTAAGGATCGCTCTTCATGCAATGCAAAGAAGTTTTACAGTTCATTTGATGGGAAATAGAGAGCCTGAGAGATGGTGGGCAGCATACAACATCTGCCTTTGGGAATCTCACTCTGCTAACACTGTTCATGGCAAGGGGATATGAGCTCCTGAGCTTTTTGATTAATCAGGCACTGGGGATGAGAAAGAGAAAGGTGTTGGAGATGCCTCCATTGTTCTAATGGAGACTAACTTTTCCATGGAGAATGGTAAGATAATTTGGGTGCATTTTAGGTAATGAAGATTTGATATCCAAGTTAAGGAGTGGAAACCAAAACTAAATGCTGATCCTACAGTTTTTCTAGTACCCAGTATTTAAAAATTAAGCTTTATATAAAAGGAAAATTAAAGGACTTTTTTTTTTTTTGCTCTTAGAAAACTGGTTTTAAGAACTTGCACAAAAGGACTATTTTATATATAGTACTTTAAGATATGTCTTGATTTCTTAGCAATTATAACTCTCTTTTAGAAATAAACATATATGGTCATGTTGTGATGATAATGAACTGCACCTGTTCTCTGCCAGGTTTACTAGGTAATTGAACACTATGAGATTATATGGAAGAAACTGCAATTTATCTAACTATAAAATATAAGGGACATTTACATTTATATGTTTGGTCTTCTGTCATCTTGGAGTAGTAGGTTAGCAAAATAAAACCTCTGTAGTTTCACTTTGAACTTGACCTATAGGCCAAAGAAGATCTAAATATTACTTCCTGTTGGGGGTGAGTGATTTAAAGTATATTTCAACAATGAGACAATATGTAAAGCTTAGATTTATTTTTTTTAAATAATTTGCACCATTTTGCCATGTTCCTTCCAAAAAAGATGAATTTGATTTCTAATGAAAACTATAATTATTCATTGAATCCCTATTTGTTTAGTACAAAATTAAGAATATTTCTTTAATCCAAATCCTTGAACAAATCCAATTAAAGAAACCCAAGATGACCAGTAATCTTACTTCATTTTTTAAAGCTATATTTCCTTCCAAGGACAATAGTATACACACTGATCCATATGAAATTTGGTATGTAGTAAATAGGAAGTTCCTAATAATTTCAAAAAAATTAAGAATTGCTCCGAAATAAATTTTAAGTCTATAATAACAATAATATTGGTGAAAAGTATATACATTTAACATTTGCTCAAGTGCTTCCCTGTCTCACTGTAGTTGCTATATTTGACACCCCTCCTCCTAATCCTCTGACTCCCTTCTTTTTCTAAAGCATGTATCTATCCCCTTCTTATAAAATGTATAATTTGCTTAATTTTTATTTATTTTTTAATTTACTGTTTTCTTCACCAAAACACAAGATTTATAGTGATAGAGAATTTGTTTATTTATTATGTATCTCAAATACCTGGAAAAGTACATGACATAAATAAACTTTTAGTAAATAATTGCTTAGTAAGTCAATAATTTTAGGTATTTTCTCAAATTGCAATTAACCATGCAAGATATATATGTATATATACAGATATACATATATATGTATATACATACATACATTTACACATACATATATATATATTTATATATAATAAGAAAAGAAGTAAATAGATAAAGGTTTAAAGATAAAATTATGGCATGAGCCACAATTAATTTCATTGTAGGTAGAAAGATAAAAAATGGTTTGGAGCTAAAATTTGTCTCCCTGAAAATTCTTGTCAATAGAACTACAGAGTTCTCATGTAGATGATAGAGGTGATAATTTGCTGCCACTTTTACTGCTAAAGGTGGTAATGATCATGTGTTACTGTTGAAGATTATAGATATTCAGTAGTCCCTCAGATTCCTGGAAGTGATTTATAAGCATTCTTATCTAAGAATTACATTCCTATGCTGTACATAAAAAGAGATATTTTCCAGGATCCACCAACTTCTCTCACTGCAGGACATGCATGAACATTAACAGGACTCCCTACTGGTATCTAAAATAAAAGTGGTGGGTAGCTATAGATGCATTGTCCATCAATCCTATATTACTCTCTGAACATAGCTGAAATGTTTTTAGAGAGGAAAAGGAACTGGGAAAGGAAATGATGACCTCAATAGGACACTAACTGTACCTGGGGGAATCTATTTGTTAGGTTCCAATAGGCAGCTAGATCAACCATCATTCATATTGTTTCCATAAGAAATGAGCTCTAGGTATCAAAAATCAATTAGCAGTTACAAAAAAAGGAATCGAGTTACTAGTACTTTCCCTCACAAATAAGTCTTAGTATTATTCAAAAAGACATCTCAGAATTTTACTCTAGCTCTATGTCTAAACCTCCAGGCATCTTCAAATGAAACAACCTGGAAAATCAGTATGCTTTTAATGAAAAATCTGAGATAATTATTTTTTCATTCATTTAATATAATTTGCTGTTCCTCAAAGGGAAAAGTTCAAAGAAAAAAATTCTTACAACAAATTTCAGCTTGTTTTAAATTAAGTGTTGTTTATTTGGGAGTGAAAATGCTTATTGCAAGAATTCAAAGGGTCTGGTAAGTACAGCAGTGAGCATGTTTCTTAATATTAAGAATGAGAGACATTAGTTTCACCAAATAAGGAGACAGCAATTGTAGAACATCAGACCCTTAGAACAAATATGAAAAAAAATATTTTAGCTTGGATTACAGAGGTACTATAGGCAATTTTTTTTTCCTGATTACTCTTCCTTTTTCCTAGATTGGGTAAAATTCAGTGACAAAGTCAGTGTTAGTGCCACTCAGTCTTCACTTGACACTCTTTAGATGTCCTCTTTTACTCATCTAAATCCTGTTGTTCAGAGACAGTATTTATAGAAGAGATAATCCAGAAAGGGAAGAAGACTCCCCAACACTTTCAGGAAGCACAGCAGCAGTTCACAGATGAGACCTCTCTTCAAATTCCTATTTTGACTGAAGTCAAAGTCCTAATTCCATTGATGGCAATACTTCATTGTGTTACTACAACAATTTTTATTAAAGAAATTATTGACTGTTGATAATATTTTTTCTCTCATGTATCTTTAGTTTTATGAATTACAAAAATGTAGTTCTTCACATTCTATGTTGTTGAAATATTATCTAGCCAATAGCATGAGCATGTTGGAAGCATTCATACTTTAATTTATCTATACTATAAACATCCCACCTTACATAGTTTGAATACTTTATGCCATTTCTTGAAAACCTCACCAGTGTGTTCCTATGCATCTTCCAGAGGTGTTTTTTTAAAGGAATATATTTATTTAGTTCCCAAATTTTTATGTATTTTTATTATGAAATATTTCATAACTATGCACATTGTAAAATATAACAGTATTTTTAAAA